ATTGTAGCAACCGACTCCAGCCGTCGCAGTGTCAACCCTAAAAACAAATATAGTGCTGAAGGCTCAGGGTCTAGGATTGCAGGGTCTCGCGGTTTGGGGCTTCCCGAGGACTCGTCCTGTTTGTGTCTTGGTAGGGTTTAGGGTTTAGGGTGAAGCTCAACTTGCGAGCAAACACGGCTTTATCGCCTAGCCTTTAGCTGGTCCTGCACGGCACTACTGTCGCCGCCGCGGTCAGCATCACCCCATGTCACAACCGATCCATCATCAAGAATGGCAGCAAACGCGGCATGGCCAGCTTGGATCTGCTGCACCTTCTTCAGCTGGCCCTGCACAGCACTGCTGTCACCGCCAGCTTCTGCACGACCCCAGGTCACCACGGATCCATCGCCAAGAATGGCAGCAAAAGCACCGCCGTAAGCGCCTTGGATCTTCTGCACATTCTTCAGCATACCCTGTACAGCAGTACTGTCGCCGCCACGGTCAGGCTCACCCCATGTCACAACTGATCCATCACCACCAAGAATGGCAGCAAAAGCGACTGTAGAAGCTTGGATCTGCTGCACAGTCTTTAGCTGATCCTGCACTGCACTGCTGTCGCCCCCGGAGTCCGCATGACCCCAGGTCACAACCGATCCATCATCAAGAATGGCAGCAAACGCGGCATGGCCAGCTTGGATCTGCTGCACGTTCCTCAGCTGACTCTGCACAGCACTACTGTCGCCACCGCAGACAGCATCACCCCAGGTCGCAACCGATCCATCGCCAAGAATGGCAGCAAAAGCGTTGCGTACGGCTTGGATCTGCTGCACATTGTTCAGCTGACCTTGCACGGCACTACTGTCGCCACCAAACATAGCAGCACCCCAGGCCACAACCGAACCATCATCAACAATGGCAGCAAAAGCACCATCATTAGCTTGGATCTGCTGCACATTGCGCAGTTGGCCCTGCACAGCACTACTGTCGCTGCCAAGGAATGCATGACCCCAGGTCACCACGGATCCATCGCCAACAATGGCAGCAAAAGCACCACTAGTGGCCTGGATCTGCTGTACAGCCTTGAGCTCATCCTGCACAGCACTGCAGTCGCCACCAAAGTCAGCGTTGCCCCAGGTCACAACGGATCCGTCACAAAGAATAGCAGCAAAAGCATTACCAGAGGCTTGGATCTGCTTCACATTCTTCAACATACTCTGTACAGCACTACTGTCGCCGCCGCGGTCAGCATCACCCCATGTCACAACCGATCCATCATCAAGAATGGCAGCAAACGCGGCATGGCCAGCTTGGATCTGCTGCACCTTCTTCAGCTGGCCCTGCACAGCACTGCTGTCACCGCCAGCTTCTGCACGACCCCAGGTCACCACGGATCCATCGCCAAGAATGGCAGCAAAGGAACCACCATCATTGGACCGAAGTTGAGTTCTGTTAACATGCAAGGTCAGCAAGTCACCGTTCGACATCCGTGAATTCAGAATCTCTGCGCATCCGTCCAGAAAAACTCCGGAGGAGTCCAGCAGCCGCCCTTTCCCGACTCCCAGTGCGACCTGTGCCCGTTGTGCCAACGTCTCCACAGTTTCGTTCAGACCTGCTTCCACAGCTGCTATCTTGCCACTGAGCAGTGAAACTTGGACGGTAATCGACATGGGCTGCGTGGGAAGCTCAAACTCCTGGCATTAAATCCTCAGCCCGAAACCGTAGCCACGACCCTGAACCCCAAACCCTAAAATAGACCATTGACAAACCATTGAAGACAATTATAGACCCCACGCAATACAATCCTGAACATAGGTAAAAACTCCCCGAACAAGAGGCTTGGTGGCCGATTTAGCGGTCATGCAGATTGCGGGGTTCTGGACGGCAGGGTCTCGAGGCTTTGCACAGGTCCGCTTCATGCTGCTGGTGTACCAAATCTTGCGGCACCCAAAGATAGAAATGTAACACAGCTCCCGTAATTTAAGGTACTTAGGTAGCGCAGGGTGTCCATCGACAGTAGCTTCGAAGTTGTTAGCTTGGACTCACTCGGACTGCGGACCCGAGCTTAAACCGTCGCCGTAAGCCAGACTCGCTCTCGAAAGTGGAGCAGACTCGGCCCTCTACACTTGTCCTTTAATCGGAAAGTGAAACCTACCCTGAACCCTAAAACCCTTACCGCGGAACCTTAACCTCTAAACCCTAACCCCAAACCTTCCTCCAGCACCCAGTCCCAACAAGCTATGCAAAGCTGAACTCGCCGACCGAAACCAAACACTAAGCGAAGCTTCGAAGCCAAATGCCCTAAAGGGTTTAGGGGTTTAGAGGTTGGAGTTTAGGGTTTGGGGCTTACGGGGTTTAGGGTTTAAGGATGTTTAAGGCTTAGGGACTCTAGGGTTTAGGGCCAACGAGTAGTAGACATACCCAGAGACTCCAAAAGAGTCTGGGGTTTACGGGGTTTAGAGCTTCAGGTTTGTAGGCTTTTGGGTTCTAGGGGTTAGACTCCAAAACCCCTTGGCTTCGGAAGGTACTGCTATGCTGCATTCCTGATATGCGGTACAGTGGACCTCCAAGTCATACGAATCCCCAAACTCTGCCCCCTAAACCCTAAACCCTAAACCCTAAACCCCACACCCTGAGCCCCGAACTCTCGGGATTGCTTGTGTACCAAGAGCTGGGGCAACTGGCCCTTCATGCTCACCTCTTTCAGAAATTCAGAGGATCTTAAGGGAAGGTTTTTGGGGGCCCATTATACGAAAATTCTAACAAGGAACCCCCCCAAAAAAAATCGTACAGGTAATTAGTTAGGCCCCTATGTTAGGGTTGCCGTTTGCGGTTTGGGGCTTTCAGTTCTAAGCGTTTGGGATTTGAAGCTCCCGACACCCTAACCCGAAAGCCCTAAACCCCTGAACCCTAAACCCTACTCGCTATGAACCCGAAGTCCTAGTCCTAGGCCCCAAGTCTGAGGGCTCACAGATGGCAGCTAGGAGTCTCCGATACAGTGACACGGGAGGGACTACTTGTCCTTAGCCAAGTCCTTGAGTCCCCTTTGTGGCCGGAATCTGCCCGAGTCTCTTGAGAAAGAAGCTGCGTTTGACAGCATCCCTCTTAAAGCAATTCTGGGGAGGCGGCCAAACTAGATCCCACCCCTTTCGCCGAATGAACGTCCTACTTGCATCGGCGATCATAGGCGCCCAGGGCCGAAAGGGGTGGCAGTGGCTACGGCTACGAATTCTCCGGACTTTAGGCCGAGACCGGGCATGTGCTTTCAACACAGGCCGCGATGCAGAAGGTGACACTCAGATGCTCAGCTCAGGACCCGATGGGAGGCTCAGGGCTTTCGGAAGTTCACGCCAGCGAAGCCTCGAAAGTTTCAACTCTCAAGCAGACGCAAAGTGCACTCCGAGCACTCCTTCCTTTTCTGCTCTGCGTGGCCAGGGGGCTGCACAAAGGGCCGAGCTCCTCCTCGATTCGAATCCTCGGCTAAACCCCGCAGGGAGCAGACAAGACAGACAAGAACACGGCACCTCCACTCCACCCCCCCTCCAAAAAAAGGTCCTCAAACCGCCCGCCCTGGCCCTTTATCGCCGTGTCTTTGCAAGCCGAGCGTCAGCTGGTTGTACTTGGCGAGGCGTTCCGAGCGGCAAGGGGCCCCCGTCTTGATCTGCCCCGTGCCTCGGGTCTGGTTGGAGGGAGCCGGTCGCAACATGCTGCAACTGTAGGCCCAGGAGGCCGCAAAGGTTCCGCAAACTGCCTTCGCAGGCACTACGTATGACTACGTGATATTCTGCTCAGATACGCAAGCCCACCACCAAGTCGGCGATGAAGGAGTCCTGCGGGACATGTGGCAGCGACGCTGTGCAGGCTCCTCAGAGACGACCGCTCTGATGGCGATCTTCATCCTGGCCTGGTCGGCACGAGTTCCCCTAACTAGGAAGCAGACCAACTCAAGGACGTGCTCAGCTGCAGCGGTTCTTTCGGACTCTCTCTGACTTCTCTTCTAAGGCTTGGTGACAGGCAGCACACACTTGGAGCACTCGCACAGCACCCATGCGGACGACCGGACGACGTCAAAGACGGCAGAGAAATCCTGGCCTGTAGTCCGTCTTCTTTTAGGATGGTGCACCTCCTTGGGCTTCGCAGCCTCACGAGCCTTCCTTTTTTCGGACTTCGCAGACTGTTGCACCGCCATTGCCGGCGGCACCACCTCTGTCACTGCCGGTGGCATCATCGCCAGTGGCACCGCCTCCGGCACTGCCGGCGGTCCCTGTGGCACCTTCTCCGAGATCTCCTTCTGAAGGCGCAGCTTGCTGATCTCCTTGTTCAGCTCGCCGATGGTGGTGAGCTGTTGTTTGATGATTTCGGCGTTGTGATGTATTGTGCTGTTCTGCTTATGTTCGGTGCGTGCCTTGGCCAAAGACTGTAAAGAATTGAGCATGTTCACGTCGCATTGTCCTTTGGCCATCTCGTTCACCGTCTTGGCTGTCAAGTCGTTGAGTACTTGGGTCTCTGAAGGACTCCCCATTCCTCCAACAGACCCGAGCACACTCGCGTCTAGCATGTCAGGACTGAATGTGAACGGAGACGAAGACATCGCACTGAGCTCAAATGGCTGCGGTGTGGATCACG